AAGCTGGACGCGGAACCACTCAGATCAGTGTGAAAGGCGTGAGCCTACTAGGAACTAGTTGGTCTCTCAGGTGGGTGTGCTTTTTTTTTTTTTTCTTTTTAAAATCTCTGGAAAACATTTCCCCAGTGAAGATACTGCAGTATTTATTCAGTGTGCTATAAGGATCAATAAACATTTTTGAAATGTGGATCAGTAAGTTGTCATGATTCTATTATTTAAGTCGTCCCTTGGTATCCTCCTGACCCCATACCAAAATCTGTGGATGTTCAGGTCCCTTATATAAAAAGGTAGAGTATTTAGTATGTCTGAAGTCATCTCTGATTCTTACAATACCTCATACAATGTAAATAGTTGCTGATGCACAATAAATTCAAGTTCTGATTTCTGGAACTTTTTTCCTGAGTATTTTTGATCTACAGTTGCTTAAATCTGAAGATGTAGAACCTGTAGGTATGGAGTGCTGAGTGCAGCTGGGATCAAAGGAAGGATGTAGTCCTGCCCTCAGAAAAGGGGTGAGGGAAAGGGGGTAAAGAAGGGCATCTGTAAAGAGTAGCTAGAATGAAGTGGACTTTGGGTCAATTTTAGCGTTAAAACAAATATGCAGATGTGCAAACACTGGACTAAGTCCTTTGAAGAAAGTATTTATTTTCCTGGAGAAATAATTTGTTATTCTCCATCATAAAAAGTACATTCTTTAGAGAGCTGGACATGTATAAACAGACTTGATCTTCAGGTCAGCCTTGAAACCTTTGCAAAGCAATAAATCTTTTGACATCAAAAGAGGGACAGAATTCAATCACAGTGACTCAAATACCAAACTCTGAAAGACTGAAATGTTCTGAGGCCAACTCAAAGAAATAAATAGTCAAGTTACCATTCTGTTAATACTGTTGAGAAAAATGTTTCAAAACCCATTCATACAGAAACGTAATCCATTGCTTTAGGATAATCTGGTTCCTAGCGAAAGAAGAGGTTGGCTCTGATGGATTCACATTAAGCCTCTCAACACCCCTGTGAGGAGCATTTAATGTTAATATCATCTTCCTTTAACAAGGTAAGTAGTGAAAAGCAAGTGACTATCCCAGGATCACAGAGTAAATCCAGGGAGATGCCCAATTGGATCTCGGCTGTCCCAACTCTTTAAGACTTGAGGGGGTCTAGCTGTGGAACAAGGTGGCAGTAATAAGAAAGCAACTGCTTTCGGAACCTTCTTAAATAACTAAGTAAATAGATGAACTATTATACTGTTAACAAAGCAACTCGAGTTTTGAATCTGTAACATAGAAAAAACTAAACAGTTGCGAAGACAATGCATAACCAAGCATTTTTAATGATTAACTATACTCCCTGGGGGGGAAAAAAAAAGACAAGAATAACAAAAAACATCGAACAGCCTCATACATATTAAGGGGGGGAAAATCCAATTTAACAAATACAAAGCTACAAAAATTGTGCTTTCTTTAGAGGAAGTCTTTTCTCTCATTTGCCTAGTTGTATTTTCAGATGGAAATAAAAATGAAATCACAACCCTGAATCATTTCATCTTCAAGTAAAATGGATATAATTATAGCTTCTAAAAACTAGAGCCATAAAAAAAAATGCTCACTTGTCATGGAGAAATATAAGTATTTTGTAATATTATGTGTAAAACTATACTAATACCTAGCAAGCATATATTAAATCTGGAATGGCCTTTGGTGCCACTGCAGACTTATTATTTTCTAAAGCAGCATGGCCATCTTCAATTACTCACAGGTTATTATATCGTTTACCATTTATTTCTTAAACTATCATTATTCACTATAATTGCCTATCAACATTAAGTTGGGGTACAGGAAACTGATGAAATGTCAGTTAACTTTGCTATTTGTACATGCTTTGATTAAATTACAAATTTAAAGCTAAGAGCTAATACAGTTTTGGGCTATCATAGATATGATTTTATGCACAATTTCAATTCTCCAGTATAAAGTCAATTAACATTATGCTGTAGCTTGATCTTTCTTGGTCACTTAAAAAAATGATAAAAACAAATTTTTGTAATATTTTCTAAAAAAAGTTCTCAATACAATGTGCATCTTCTCCGTATAGTGTACTAGCTATGATAGTAGATATTGGCCAATATTTTGTTAAAAATAAAAGCTTTCCTGAGAGGGCCAGTTTACAATGAGCAGATAACTGCCCACCTCCCTTTTAAAAATAAAGAATGTCAGCACCCATGTATGATCAGCAATGAGAAGTGAAGTTCATTTTTCCATGAGGCTCATAGGACCTGTAATTCTATTTTATGGCAATAATTCTTGAAGGTGGTCTCTAGACCTCATGTTCCCTGGCAAAGAATATACATGTCCTACTAGGTTTAAAAGACCAATCACGGCAGACAAAGTTAGTTTCCCAGTCCTGTGCAACTCTTTTGAGACCCCCATGGACTGTAGCCTGCCAGGCTCCTCTGTCCATGGGGTTCTCTAGGCAAGAACACCGGAGTGGGTTGCTATTCCCTTCTCCAGTGGATCTTCCTGACCCAGGGATCAAACCTGGGCCTCCGGCATTGCAGGCAGATTCTTTACCATCTGAGCCAGCAGGGAAGCCATGGCAGGGCTTGAAGTTATGTCATAATGAGATCAGCAAGCGCTACTTGGCTCTTTTTCAAACTCAGAAAAAAACTGAGTCATAAGTTTTTGAAAACTCTTAAGAGGTTTTCTTCCAGAGAAGTACTGCCATCTTCAGCACATACACATATGTGAGAGAGCAACTATGAACTAAACGACTTACTCAGGCTAAATGCCCCGAGAAATCACATTGCAGCAACGTGGTAAACTTAAAAACAAAACTCCAAGAGAAGTGAAAGAATAAAGCTATAATAAACTTTGAAAAGAGGAATATTCATTTCTCTGGCTTAGTTGAAACATTCGTTAGTTAAAAAGAAGCCTGGGGAAATTGATACGAATAATCCGAGAACTGCTGCGGAATGCCATGATGTCAGGAGGAGATTCTAGAGGTTGAGCTTCCTCTGATTTCTGTTAACTATCAAATGTTCTGCTGGGGCATAATTTACCTCCTGTCCCATAAAACTTTAAGAACAAGTCACAAAATCCATGTTAGAATATAAGTTTTTTAATTTTTATAAATAACTTATCTGTTACAAAGATAGTTTACCCAGCTAAATCACAAAACCATCAACTCAAGATATCCAAATTACGTTTTATTAATAAAACAAGTAAAAACTGATTTATCAATCTTCACATAGAACTGCAGATGAAGCTGAAAAACAAGGCCTATTTTAAAACAAAATGCATCAAATGTAAGGGCTTTGGGTTTCTCATCTAATTAACTAGGATTGTCATAGTTCTTCTCATATACAAGATGCAAAGCCTGGAAGTTAAGGCTCTGACATTCATATAGAATCACCTGTAATAATCTTGCTTATTTAAAAAATATTCATTGGCAAACATTTACAGTGGGTGCCAGTCTACATTATCTCCTATCTTTTGCTACATTTCAGCACTTCCCTTAACCCCATTCTAAGCACTGATATATAATTTCATAATTGTTTTTTTAAATGCATAGTTATTTTTTCCTTGATTTCATTTCGTTATATACATTCCTGATCATCTGAATATTTATTTTCCTTACAAAAATATATCATCAAAATAAAGAGATGCTTGAGGTTGCTTCAGTGTTCAAGTTTGCTTGTTTTTCTTTTTTCCAGCTTTTCTTCAGTTGTCCTAAATACGACTAGCCTTGTTTTATAAATATACACGATACTGCCACCAAGTCAGGTTTAGAAACGGACTGCCCCAACAGTAAAGCGTTTAAATTTCTCTCCAAAAAAAGGTCTGTAGGTACTGTTGCTGGTTTTGAAACTGTACTTTCCCAATAGCAATCTCTTGTGGAAGTTCTGTGGGACACAGGCAGATAAAGCAAACTTAACCTTGTTGCTGTCAGTGGGTTAAAAATACCTTTTGTTTTAAGCTTCCCTGTGGAAGATAAAACACCATGTTGTGTTACCCACCACTAGAGTCAGTATATAATGTGATCTATAGACATAAGTCTTGCAATATTTTCTGCAATTCACTGGGCAGCATCTGTATGTCTTCACAGAACATCGGCACTCATGAAGGGCAAAGTACAGAATAAGTAGAGGAAAGTTATTTTGTGCATAGTTTCATTTCATTAATGCTTTTTTATTTTGAAGGCAATGCTTCTCTCATGTAAGGCTTAAAAAGGGACATGATAGTACTTAATCACTAAAAGGAAAAAAGAAAATTAGTTAACAAAAGACTATTACACTATACATATAGAAATATAAGAAAATAATAAGGAAGAAAAGAAATCACTTAAAGCAGACTTGAGAGCTCTGTACAGTAGGAAAAGGTTTGGGGTATTTCACACCATGTTTGTACAGACAATGCTGCTGCTCTCCTTTCATCTTTAGACCCTAGATGCTGGCTTCACAGAGTGGAGACGTTTTCAGGGAAGACAAAGACAAGGCCAAGAGTACCACAGATTTGTGAAGTTCTTCCCCTTTCCATTGGCACTATACAGCAGCAAACAGTTTTTAAATAGTTAAACCTTGTTGCTTTTCTTCATGTTTGTAGTGTTTCACCGAAAGCTTAAAAAAAAAAAAAAGCCATCGTTCTATTCCTTCCTCCTGTCAAAATTCAGTAGTGACATGAGGGAAAAAAGTACTGGGAACATCTAGGTATATTAATATGTTGAGAATTATCCATGATGGGCTACTGGTAACACTGTACATGGTTAGGCAGTGGGCAACCAAGTCTTTCAGCAGATTACCTTTCATGTGATGAATTTCAACTGCCCATGACATTAGACTGAGGTATTATTAGCTCTGTGGGTTGACATTTAACATTAGCACAACACCATCTTGTCACACCTTCAATTTTACAAAATCTTATGTAGCAGTGAAACTTTTCCCCTGATGACAGACTGGTTTCTTGAATTTCAGATGTGGATTTAGAGAAGATATAGGGCCTCCTGGCTCAGAAATGCCTTGGCATCTCACACTGTTCGCAACGGATTAAGGCTGGATGGTTCAAAAAAGTACAGGCAGTACAATTCCACTGAGCCCCCTCGTCATCTTCTGTGTCTTGAGTCTTTGGTGTTTTGATGGTGGACCTTTGATCTGTAAGGAAGCAAAAGAATGATTTTAGAAGCAAAATCAGTCATAAATTACTGGTAACTATAAACACTATTGGGCTTTCCTCATAGCTCAGTCAGTCAGACACTACCACCACACAGCATGAAACAGCTTGTTAATCAAATGAAGCATCTAGCCGAAACTGATCCACATGCTTGATCCTCACAACCTGTATCTATCAGGCGGGCACATCTCTGCCGGGGAAGAGCAACATGGACATGACTTAATCACCTCAATATCTCCTCAAATGGGAAAAGAGCATCACTTCCCCCAATTTATAGCAGGAGAAAAGGGAAATCAATTCATATGGCAACTAACAGCCATAATGTCACCTAAGAATGTAAAAAGGTATCCAACTACAATGCAGTACTGCTAGTGCATTTATGTCTCATTCAAGTTTGAGTTTCATTTCTCACTGATGTAGTAGTTATATTTCTGATTTCTATCATGAATGGAAGTGTTTATTAAATGTTCTCCATCTGCTAAAAATCTAAAATTGAACGATACGTACTAATTTCTAAAATCTTATTTAACTAAATGTCAACAACAGACTTGGAGAAGCAAATCAGTATAAAATTTTATCAGACTTCATTTCTCATGTTATTTGAAAATGTATTTATTATGGAACACTAGAAAGACTACCAGATCCAGAGTTATGAGAATGGAGTTCTATTCATGGTTCTGCTATTAACTCCTAATTTCTTTGCTCTGTGATCTTAGATAATGATGTTTTCTCTATATCTATTCTTTCTTTCTTATAAAATAGTCACTGCAGTTTTATGAAGTCAATGTTCTAAATGTTCGAATGTACAGAGGTATCTTAAATATAAGAAATATATTCCTCCATGGTTGTGTCAAAGATGAAATTACATTTATAAAACTACTTTTTGGGGGGAGGGAGGTATCTTTGTATTTTAAAAATAGGATTCCTATAAATTATTTTGGGGAGGTTTGAAGTAAAAGGAGCATGCATTACTGGATCTCTCCCGTCAAGGTTTATGATTTGTAGTTTACAAATTATATTAAAAATGTATATTAATTTGCAAATTCTACCTATTCCACGGAGCTGGTAAATAAATGATATCTTTTATGCTATTTTAAAAGAAACTATGATACATAGTGGATAAAAATATAGGAAGTCAAGTTTCTGTAACGAATTCAAAATAATTAAGTGACGATACTTTGTTTAGTGGCACTTTATTCACTGTTTGGTCTCAAGGTTAACATTTTATTGCAAAATTCCCACTTTAGGCACAGTCACAATTTTTAGGCATCAACATGATTTTTGGCACATGCATGAGCACCATGAAAGTATTATTTATATAGTAATTTTATTTAAATTGAATAGCTTTAAAACAAATATCTAGGGAACTTTGCTGGTGATCCAGTGGCTGAGACTCTGCACTCCCAGTGCAGGGGGCCCAGGTTCACTCCCTGGTCAGGGAACTAGATCCCACATGCTACAACTAAGACCTAGCACAGCCAAACAAATAAATACATATTAAAAAAACTATCTATTTAAGGTTTATCTAGATAAAAATATTTTAAAAATCAAGGGTCTGACAATATGAGTTAGTATCCACCTAAAACTCATTAAAATGAATAGTTTTAAAAAATTTGACTTTTTACCATCTACAATTATTCTACATTCCATACTTAGGAAACATTTTATAGAACAACTGTTTTAATCTGGGGATAATCCAGTCTACTTAGAATTTTGGTCTCACTGAGGTTGGAAAACATTCTGATCTGGCACATTTTCAGTAAAACCTTGTCTATCCTTTTTGTTAACTACAAAGGTTTTTTAGGAGGGCCATTCAATCTGTATTAACTCTTCATTCTATTACTAAGTGCCAGGATTATCTTCAATATTTAAATATCTAAGGTAATCAAAGAGAGGACCTAAGTTTTTAAAATGAAAAAAATCTCCAATGGCTTTCTTGCAACTGCACAAAATCTTCTGGTCCTTAGAATTATGACTCTTTACTATTAGTGGTATTTGGAAGCTACATAACCACCAGAATAGAGAAAAGAGGAAGCTATTTCGGGTGCACAGTATGAGATCACTTGTGATGGCCACACTTCTAGTTGTTAAAAAACCCACCTTATAAAGCAGAACTGATTTTAAGAACTAAGTAAACCTCTCTAAGTGAAACTAGTTAACTCCCTACTTTAGCCTTAAGGCAAAAATGACTAATTATTTCTCTAAAAATATCCAGTATACAAGCATTTATCTTTTGTGAAAACCTTTTTAAGTTTTTTATTTTCCCTTACTTTTTATCATGGAAACTTTCAAACACACACAAAAGTAGGGCAAACAGTGAAATAAACTCTCAGCCCTTATGTTGCTTCAATAACTGTCAAGACAAACCTTATTGCATCTATATCCCATCTCCCTCCTACCTGTAACACATAAGCACTGAATTACATGGAGACAAAACAGGATCTTTTTATATGAGAATTTTTAGTTTTTCAAAGAGAATAAAAAGATTATATTAAGGCAACTCATTCAGAGTCTAAAATATCCATTTTGCTTATTTTAAGGAGCTAGGCTGTACCACTGCTTTCCTTATTCCTTCATTCAATTAACATCCAACGTCTGAACACTTCCTTACTCATGTGCTGTGTCAAAAGCCCAATTTCACTTTTGTTCCTCTGTAATAAGACTTCATTACATTCCAGCTAACTATCTTTAAAAACTTTTAAATAATACAAAAGATGAAGCTACAGCTAGGCCTAATTGAATTATAACTGAATAAAAACAAAGGAGTGGAGAGAACAGGATACTGAATGAGAATATGAAAATTCTTGTAACAAACCAAAGATTGTTCCCATTTCTACATATTTTTTAATGCCTGGAGTAAAAAACCCACATAAGTGTTTCAACATTTCTTAGTTTGGTGTGTACATAATCTGTCTCAATGACATAAAAATGATAGTAGGTAATAATTTAAAAAAAAACATTTATCTGAAATTCAGAGAATTTTGACTATAGAGAACTATGCATAAACTATATAGGACAGAATACTTATGAAAAATAAACTTTCCTGAGGTGTCTTTCCTTAACGTTTAACTCAAATTTCAAAGAATACAAGTTTTTACCCTGGTGATTTTTTTTTTTTTTTGGCCAAAATTTGCTATTCTGGGAGTATACAATGAATCCTAAGGACAGGCATATTACTTTTAAAGGGTTAAAAGTACATTACATTTTTGAACCCTCACAGTTCCTAGCATGTTAAGTGAAAATAAGTATCTACCTAATGAATCCATCCAAGAATGCCAAAGTTGGAAGTACTTCTAGAGTGGAAGGCTGCTAAGAATAAAATTTTCTAAAATCTTGCTTTTCAAAATGCAACAGTTTTCACACTTACTGGATACACTAACCTTTGGGTTTTGGTGGCACAGGGCCTACAAATCCAATATTGTCATAAAAGTTATGAATAGCGCTGGGATTGAAATGTGGTCCTGAAATATATAAAAAGAAGTATATCAATGTTTATAGCGCAAAAAAATTAAAAAAAAATTTAAAAAGCAAATATTTTCTTTCTTAAAAAAAATTAAATAGAAAAAATACTTTTATATCACACCTTTAATCTCCAATTACATGAAAGGATTTCAAAAACAGCTGAAATAGGTGTAATATATTGATAATACCCGTAACAGAAGTCCAAGCTGTAAACTGAGAAGTTAGATTAATGCTAGTAAGACAGTAAAAGAATTAGAACAGATCCCTGTTGTATGTGACAAGTTAAGATAACTTATAACTTGACAATGTAAAATATAATTTTAGCATGGTCTTAAGCCACTACATAGCTTGGCCTCAAGTAAGTATAAAAGCCTGAACTAATATAATATGATGCTTCAGATTTTAAACAAAAGGAACAACTTCAAAGATTACATTTTCTAGAATAGCACTAATTTTTTCTCACCAAAGTTAAATTATGGCATTTTCTATGACTGTTTCAAGACAAACAGCTTACTTACTAAAAGAAAATAAAACAAATCATCTTTCAGTTTAATGGATTTTGGCACATACTCAGAAGTGTGACTAAGGGCTTATTTTTTGGCTTCTTTCCTTTCCTGTCTTTTTCAATTTATATATTTCTATTATTTCCAAACTTCAGAATTAGGTTTAAGTTATAAACATTCTTTTTAGTTGTCTATGGAACACTTTTTACTCACTTATGTATTGTGCCAAATGCCCCAATCTTTTTTTACTCCACAATAAGCAATTATTGCTGGTCAATAATAGTTCAAGTATCATAAACTATCATTTTCCTAAAAATACTGTAAGTCGTATTTTAATTTTCTTCTCTACATCATCAATTAAGAAAGTGCCATTAGAGTGGGGATACCTTTTAATCATGTTCTTAAAAGCATAATTCTTCAAAGGTAGAAGGAAAAAAGGTAAACAGGAAAAAGGAATATGAGTATATATTACAATCTTAATAAACATTGTAACAGATTATATTAATACATAACAGCAATTCTTTTGACAATATAGCCAGACATACTAATCACTGTCTTCCCTTAACATATGACTAAAGGGGATTTGAAGGATATTATATGTATCAAACTACTCCTCAACCAAATATACAACTTTGGAGGGAGGAGAGGAGAGTGAGAGAAAATAAAAATCTAAGTAAGCACTATATGGCTCCAAATGAAACCTGAAACAAGATTACAATTGATAAGTCTGTTTTCAGCCACAGGAAGAGCTGATAAATTAATACAAAGAACTTCAGCTGAATATGCATTGAACTTTACCTCGGGCTTGAAAAAGATCAATTTCTTTGGTTAGGCAGTCAATGTCAATCTGGAGCTGTCTATTGCAACTTCTCAACTGCTGCATTTCTTCGAGCTGAAAAATAATTCCATGTGAGGATCTACACAGAACTCTTGTGTTATTAGTTAAGAAGGAGTCAAGTTTTGTAGGGGGAGGTAAGGACAGAAAAAGTATAAATTAAGAGCATTTCTAGAAAACTAGGTCAAGCTTTTATACTGATGACAGGTTGCTTATTGCCATGTTCAAGCATAGCAGTTACAACAGTTACAGAAAGAAAGACTTACTGAAGGTATTTGGGATATGGAATTTGATCTTTTCAGACGCCTTCGAGTTAGATTATTTTCCATCTCATTGACCTCAGATTTTAATTTATCCAGCTTTTTCTTTTGAATCTCAAGTTCTCTTTGAAGCCGTTCCATTCTGGCCTTCTGGTGTACCAAAAGAGCTGCAATACATATTAGTATATATGAAGATCCATCGAGTTTAATCAATTAACCTTTAAACAACCTTGGGAAAACAAAACAAATAACTATTTCTGTGACAAAGAGGTTGTGAAGAATCTCAAAGATAACACTAAAACAAAGTATTGTGTGTTAAATATCTAAAATTTCAATATTTTTAACTTTAGATAATTATTTTATTTTTGACTTGAGAATCATTTAAGCATATAAACGTCTTAATGGGAATGTGGGTTAGGTTAAATCCATTTTGATGTATGCAATAAATAAAACTGATTGATTTCAATCCACATGAATGTTAACATTAGATTGCTCAAACTGCAAATCAAAAACAAAACCATTCAGATAAACCAAATACATTTTCTTACATTCCAATTATATTTTGTGAAAATATTTTCCTAAGATTTTTTAAAAAAGAAAATAAGCAATCAATCTTGTCACATGAATGATGAACTGCTTGGGAAACCTTAGTAAACCATAAAAATTGGCATATATGTTCTTGCCACTTCTGGACAAAGTGAGTTTTGACTTTTTAGGATATTGGACTGGTGGTGAAGATAACTGAATTTACTATTAAATGGAGGCTTGGGATGACTCTACCACGAGAAAAACACGCTGATTTGGGAAAGCACAATAACCTCTATAAATGAAAAATAGCAATTAAAAAAGGCAAGTCGATTAAACAGATTAGATTAATGCTAAATCAATCAAACTAAAATTTTCAAGAAGCTAAAAAATAAGGAAAAGGCTATATATATTCAGGCCATTCAGTCCAGCAGTGTATTACAGAATCTGAATTAGGGTGTGGGGTAAGGGGAAGCTAGTTAGGCTCAAGTACTTTAAAATTAACTTTAAATGGTAGGTAATTTTTCTCAACAAAAATCTGACACTAATACAATCCACAGGTATCTCCCTCTGTAATTCTCTTTTCTTACTTATTGGAAGAAAAGAGCATTAGGGGAATATGTCTCAAGTGTTAAAAACCATGACTGATTCTTGGTATCTTATCTCTCATTTTAATATATATTCTAAAAATGCAGGGAGGTGTTTTGGAGGTACACATGTCCCTGATAGAAAACTCACTGCGTCTTTGTGTATCCATAACCACCCCAAGATTGTTTTGTCAGGCTTTTATTAACTTGGTTTATTTTACTTGAATTGCAAAATTTTAAGCCTCTATTTCCAAAACATAACAATTATGCATTAGGCTTTATTTTATTCTCTTAAAAGAAGATGAGGAGTGGATTGTTAATTTCTGAGTGGGACAGTAAGAGGAGACAGACAGAGACAAGAAGTGGGAACAAAGGGCAAGGCAAAGGAAAACCACAAGAACATAACATACTTTCCTTCATTTCTAAACTCTGATGATCTACCAACAAGTCTCAAATGCCATTAGTAAGACATGTGTTCAAATTAATGACTATTTAAAAGCAGTATTTCTTAAAAATTAATGGAGATTATTTCCCTAAAAGCTTTTCCCTAAATATACAAAACAAAAAAAACTTTAAAACACACATTTATTAGTGGTTCTAACGACTAAGTGATAATTTATATTTGTACTGAGTTAGAAAATAAGACACACATTTGTGATATTATTCAATATTACATGAGGAGAGGGGATAAGAATAGATTTTCTGAGAAAACGATTTATATGCCGAGGGCAGAGAGAGAACCTCTGAGTGAGGAATTACTGTTAACAATTAGCTCCAGGCTGGTGATTTCCTTGAGGTAACCAGCAGAAGCAAATGCAAACTGCTCTGGCAACCTACTTCCAGTACGGAGCGGCACCTACTGTGGAATCCAAAAGGAAAAATTCTCAACGAAGAGGAGCTCTCAGCAGAAAAGTATGACCGAGCAAGAAAACCACCTACCATGAGAATCAACAGCCCAAGAGGAGCCCCTTAAAACTTGGTTATATAATAGTTTGAAAGAAGCTATGGAAATATCTGTTTAAGATGACTATAATGATTACAGAAGAATATAACAAAACAATAAGACACCGTGAATAAGTTTTGGATAAGTACCATAAACAACCTCTAGAAGTGGAAAATAGCCATTGAAACAGTCAACCAAATAGATTAAACAGTAGATTACACATAGTCCAAGACATATTTAGTGACCTAAGAGATAAATCTAAGAGTATTCTGAAATGCAGAGATAAAGTGATGGGAAACATGAAAGAGGGGTTAAAAGATCTGAATAAATATAAAAAGGAGTTCTAGAAGGAGACAATAGAGTGAATGGCAAAATTTGAAGAGAAACCTGCTGAAGAAATGAAATAATATTCCAGAAGCTAATGAAATAATTAATTCACTTAATCAAATTACTGGAGTAGGGATGAACAGATAAAGTTGGGGGATTTTACAAACCATGGACTGCTCCTAAAGAAAGAACTACTAAAGATGTTTTTTGATATGGAGGACATTAATACAAGAGAAAGGAATAAGATAATGAACGTAAAAAAAGTTCTAACTCTGAAACAAAGGAAAAAGACCATGGCAGTGGGTGGGGAGTCAAAGACTGTTTAAAAGAAAGTAAAACTAAAATGTTAGAGAATAACAAGAAACTTTGGAAATACGAAAATTAGATGAAAAGCATTCTAAAGTTTTAAAAGTGTTCATACAGAATATTCTGAGTTCAGTTCAGTTCAGTTGCTCAGTCGTGTCCGACTTCTTTGTGACCCCATGGACTCCAGCATGTTATGCTTCCTTGTCCATCACCAACTCCCGGAGCTTGCTCAAACTGATGTCCATCGAGTCAGTGATGCCATCCAACCATCTCATCCTCTGTCATCCCCTTCTCTTCCTGCCCTCAATCTTTCCCAGTATCAGGGTCTTTTCCAATGAGTCAGTTCTTCGGATCAGGTGGCCAAAGTACTGGAGTTTCAGCTTCAGCATCAGTCCTTCCAATGAATATACAGGACTGGTTTCCTTTAGGACTGACTGTCTTGATCTCCCTGCAGTCCAAGAGACTCTCAAGAGTCTTCTCCAACACCACAGTTCAAGAGCATCAGTTCTTTGGTACTCAGCTTTCTTTATACTCTCACATTCATATATGACTACTGAAAAAACCCCATAGAGAATCCCATGAACAGTATGAAAAGAATATTCTCAAATGTTGCTAAACCAATTATACATGTTAAATATCTAGGGATAATGATGAAGAGTATATGAGAAAGCTAAATATAGTTTCTAAAAGAACAAAAGGAGAAATAAAATTTGATTAAACTTAGATAGCAGGAAAGGAGGAAAGTGGAAAGAACTAGAACATAAATAATTCCAAATATGTCAGTAATCATAATAACTGTAATCTAATTAAATGAATCTGTTTAGATACAAAAGATCTACAGCTGCATTGTTGTTTTCAAAACACACTTAGAATGTAAGTTGCTACTCCATTCTTTAATATAGTAAGAGCCCATGTAACTCGTCAGGATCGTTGTAGCCACCCAGGAAATCAAGGAACAAGACAGGTAGAAATCCCCACCCTGCTGGAGCTTGGAGGCACAGCTGTGTGCTGTGTGTGTACCCCAAGCAAAAGCTCTGAAAAAGGGGTCAGTAAACTATGGCTCAGGGCCTAATCTGGCCATTGCCTGTTTTGTGAACGAAGTTTTACTGGAATATAGCCATGCTCACTTGTTCACCTATTGTCTACGTCTGTTTTTGTTACAACTTAAACCACATGGCTTGTAAAATTCCACATAATTTAGTATTTTGCTGTTTATCAGATCATGTGGAGATGGAATGAATGGGGACCCAGCACAGCACAGAAAGGCTGAAAATGAAAGGACGAAAGTAAAGTAAACTTTGTACTCTAGGCAGCACTCTAAGAGATACAAAGTAAGAGCAGCCACTGCTAGTGACATCTGAAGACTGGGAGGAACTAAAAAGGCAATGACAAAACCCAGACCTACCTCCACTCCTGCCTAAGATGACTCAACACTTCACCATATCCTGACAGGAAAAAAGGTATTCTAGTTTCTGGATGTAAAGGTCCCGGTCTCTTCTGATTTTTTTACATATAGTTTTTGGCATTCAATAATAATAATAAAAAAGTAGTAACACAGAAAAGTGAGAGAAAAATTCAACGAATCACCAAGAGAGAAAGCAGTCAATGGAACCATATTCAAAGATGACCCAGATGCTGAAAGTAGCTGGCAGGAAACTGAAAAATAACTATGACTGAAGCTTCCTAGGTGGTACAGTGGTAAAGAATCCTTCTGCTAAGAGAAGACGCCAGAGACTCGGGTTTGATTCCTGGGTCAGGAAGATCTCCTGGAGAAGGAAATGGCAACCCACGTAGGTATTCTTGCCTGGGGAAAAATCCCATGGACAGAGGAGACTGGCAGGTCCCAAAGAACTGGACAAGACCGAGCAACAGAACATACACACAACATGTTGAAGGAGTTAGGTAAAAAGATGAACAACATGTAGGAATTGATGGATAATCTGAGAGGAGAGATGGAAATTATTAAAGAAGAGCCAAATATTGGAAATAAAATATGGTATCAGAGATAAAGAATTCTTTCAACAGGCTTACCAGCATGCTGGATACAGAAGAATCAAGAGATTACTTCAGTTGAACACGAAGAAAAAGAGGGAAGAAGAACAAAGCATCCAAAAGGTGATGGGCAACATGAGTCTATAATGTACATGTAATTGGTGAAAGAAATGGAAAAACAGTAGACGAATTTGAGGATAATGGCTAAATAGTTCGCAAAATTAATGAAAGACAATAAATCACAGATCCAATAAGCCCAGGAATCTCCAAATAACATCAAAACAAAACAAAACCTAGACATATAATAAGATTGCTGAAAAACCAAAGATACAGAGGAAATCTTGAAGGCTGATAGAGATACTTTAAAATTGATATACCAGGCAAATATAAAACTGAAATAAAGCCAGTGTAATAATACTCATTTCAGGAAAAAAGCTGAGTGAGAGAAGATCAATATTCAGTTCAGTTCAGTGGCTCAGTCGTGTCT